GTAAGTTAACTGTTTTCCTTTGCGAGTCTAATACATTATACTGTGTGTATGCGCGTGTATTTTGCAGTTGACAACATAACATATGAGTTGCTTGAATGTTTACAACAGATTAGGTCACTTCTGCTTATTTCTTTCTGTGATTTGCTTTTATTTTCGTGAAATCGTTCAAGTTGGAACAAAACTAACTTTTTAGGTGGCACCTAAGTCCTAACATGTGGTTGGCACACGTGAATAGCGTAACTGACTCTGAGATTGGATGTTGAAATCAGGCTTAGCTGCCGAATGGTTACATCGTGTTCAGCAAGTACTTGTTGTTTTCTATTGTATACAGAGGTTGAGCATTATACATGAAAACGATCTGGGAATCTCACCACATCATTACAGTAAATGTCGCCACGTCCAATGATATTCTGTCTGACGAACGTACATCTTTTTAATAGCTTTGCAGCATAGTTACATTGCAAAATCTTTTTGCCATAATGTTGTCAAAGCACATCACTACTTCTTGCAGCTTTTCATAATTCAGCTGGTGTTTGAGGATGATGATTTCCCAGTTCCAGTATTACAGTGTGATCACACAGGAATACAAGCTAATTTTCTTCCCATGGAACGCATGAATACTCATTTCTTCTTCCAGCTGCTGAGGTGTGATTGGAAGCCTTATCTTGGGATTTAATCATATCGAAAACTTAGAATTTCCAAGATTGTATATCTCTTGTACTTAATGGAATTGAAAAACAAATAAACATGAATCAATTCGGAGTAACAGGACCATCCAGAAAGAGACATGCAATAAGCTGTACCCTAGCCGTGGTAAGCAAAGTGCAGCATCTTGTAACAGGTAAGAATCCACAAACACAAAAGTTCAATGGAAAAAGCCGTCCACATGTCCCAGGCAACAGTTCGCAACTTAATCAAGTAGGATCTTCACCTGGAAATGAGGCCAACAGGGTATGGGCTCATTCATGATCTAAGTGTATTAATGTTTTATATTGAAAAGGGTTGCTACATATCCTTCCCGAAAGTTTCAGTATTTGGTGGAATCACACTATTGCCAAACAGTGTCAAAATGTAGTGCTGATACTCAACCGTAGCTTTATATCGGCTGTGATTGTAGAGCGATTTGCTGATTTTCACATTCAAATTGCTTTGACATAATGCACTTAACCTTGTATTTAAACCAGTTTGTGTATATTTTTAATTGCTTACATGAATAATAATACATACAAGAGCACAACTTGTCAGGCTAATGAAGAATTCTGGCTTGAAATATTAGATGTGGTGCATTTGGTGGAAACTGCTGTGATTAGCTTGTACTGCTTTGAAATAAAAACATAGTGTAGTGTATTTAATGTGGATAAAGGATATTCAAGATTTATGCTCCAAAAATACTGAAAAAATAACACAGAGGTACTTAGGAATCTATGCTAAATCACCTGAAAAACATTATGGTGCTATTGTTTTCATTAATGTTCGTGAAAGAATGTCTTGAAATTTTGGTATCTGAAATGTCCATAGGTTATGTGACTCAGATCTGAAAGACGAAATCAAAATATGATCAATTGTTCATTCAATATGACAAAAACAACAAAATAAAACATTCTATCTGTTGTTTATGAGTACTTTAATTCAAAAATATTTTCTGTTGTTATATATCAAACTATATTTGGATTTATGTATCTCAATATTCTTCTCAACAGGGTAGTCGTAATCTACGAACTTTGTGTTAACTATATTTAGTTGTAGGTTATAAGATAAACTTTATGTGAAATAAATGAACGTAATCCTAGCTTTTTTTGTAAAATCATACATGGTTTACTTATTTATTCACTGTTAGAAGCTTTGATCATTGGATGTAAAGCGGTTGGCTTAATTTCAGTTACCAGTTTAAGGTGTCTTCTTTAACTTTATTCACCCACTTTCCCCATTGCACCTAGTTCTTGTCTTTGTGACAACTAATGAACGGTGGAAAAACTCATGTTTGTGTGAGATAAGCTGTATTTGATGACTGGTGACTATTACCATGAGCTGGCATTATCAATGGCCTGGATATGGTAGTTGTGGTGCATTGTTTCACATAAAACTATGTAGATTTAAAATTCACCACTTCTTGGAACATATGCATTCTAACGTCATACTTGATACGAATGACGTAAAATATGGCAAGTGTGATACATCTGGACCTAATTAACGTTTAAAGAAGCGGTTGAGTCGCGTTATGATTGGTCATAATGTTTAAAATTACATTGCTTGCTTAACTTCTGACCTGTCACAATTTCAGTAGAATTGGAATTTTCAACCCTGATTTCTTAATGGAGATACAAATATTGTGAAGTGTCCGACAATCTATTTCTCCTCTGAAAAGGGTATGGTGAGCTGCACATCTGTCTGTAAAACTTCAACCTCACTTTCAGAAATGTGCCTCACCAGGGTGACTTGTCGTTGACGTGTGTACTTAATCAACTGCTGATGATCCACTGTGCATTACAATGGTCAGTAGGAACAGACAGGATCCAACCTCTGGGAGAAAGAAGTTTAAAAATCGACTTCTACAAAAAGGAGAAGCGCCCAGATACAAAGTGACCACTGCAGAATTGTAAATATCATCAATTTTATGTTAATTGTGCTATTATTGTGGTTATTTTTGTATTTTGAAGTAATGTAGCTATGTTATGTTTCTTTTTTGGGTTTATAGTTTTATTTTGATTTATAACGTCATTTTTTTTCAATTTTGTTCATAGTGTAATGTATACTTGGCCGATTGTTACGTGTTTTATGGTTTAATTTTGATTTTATTTATTATCATTGTATTATTATATTTTCTCCCATGGTTTCGTTCTATTTGTGTCTATTGTATTGTAATTAATTTGAGTTGTATTTGAATTTTTAAATTTTGATCTTTTTGTATTGTATTTTGATATAATTATTTTGAGTTTACAGATTTCGTTATTTTGAGTTGTATTTCATATATTTAACTTAACTGGTTGCTTGAGTTTTCTGATTCATTTTGTTGCGCGTGTCATCTGAGGAAGATTATTATAATATATTATGACTTGCAATTAACTCTTCGTTTCCGTCAGTAGTATTTAATTTTTATGTTTAAGACTGATATACCCTAAGATAAGAAAGAGGGAGGGTTGTCGAAACGGAAATAGCTTCTACTTTTACATTTTCGTAATTAGTTTAGAAGATACATGTAGTTAGGTGTATTCAGGTGATTATAAATATTCAATCAGGCGTTTTGTTGTAATTATGACAGTTTAGTTCAACAAATGTCGAAAGATCATAAACACTTGTTAGTCCTCTTACATAAGTAAAGTTTACATACAACAACAGCTAGAAGAAGCCTGTATTAATTGGCCCTGTGTCTGTGTGCACTCCCCGTGTGTACTTGAATACCCCAAGATCATATTGATATCTTTGTGTGTAAGTCGTGTAATATCCTTTTTGCTTTCATGTTTTGAGTAATTTTTTCAGTAATTGTGCTCCTGCTACCTTCTCAGGTTTATCCACATTAAGTTCAAACAGGTAGGTACGAATAGTCGTGATCAGATTTTGTGGAGAATGAAAATTGACATTCCTCTCATCTTACCAATTGCCACTCACATATAATAATCATAACCGCATAAGAACACCAGGAACCTCACATGCTTGAAGAACGTGAAATGGTAAAAAACTATGAACTATTGCAATTGTTAAAAAAAGAAAGTTCAGGTAAAGGAGTATATTGTATCTAAAAGGTTTTAACTGACTTCATTTATCATTTTGGAACTTGTTTGAAGATAAAGTTTTGATTTTCTAGATTAGGTTTTATATATTTGGTAACATACAAAAATACTACAATCTATTTAAGGACCAGATAGATTATTCTACTTAATAGATGTAAGTTGACTCGAGATAATTGGTTATTTAATGAGGGTTATAGAATATAGATAACCTTTAATGCTACTATCAATATTTTTGTCTCAGGAAGGAAAGATTTCAGCTGTTAATATTGCTCATGAATACATATTGATATGAGTGGCAATTCACAAAACAGCGCATTTTGTATGCATTTTCAAGTGAATAATAATAGATCGCAATGAGTTTATGATACTAATTAAATCTTTGTTTGTTTCCTTTTTTATTTCTCGGGAAACTTAAAGAGAAAGTTTTCTTGTTGGTTATAAATGCATATCACACCGTTTAGCAAAAAAGATAGTTATTATCTTTTAGATCTTATATTATAACCACAACGCTAAAAATCTGGTTTCGATACACATGGTGGGCAGAGCACAGATGGACCAATGTGTATCTTTGTGCTTGGACAACAAAGTCTTCAGAAGCGTCGCAAGCTGCTCACCGCGCCATCTTTTGACAGTTTGCATTAAACTATCTTAAAAATAAAATAGAAAATAGCATTATCTCATTATTCCTCCTTTATCATGTTGTTTCTAAGACAGGATATCTGTGATGAAACATGACCTATGGAGAAGGTCTTACCTTTTAATTATTTTAATTCATTATCAAAAACTATAATCTTGTATAAGTGTGCTCCATACATTCTTGTTAATTTGAAAATTTTAATGAGGTTTTTCAACGTCAAATGAATTTATTTTATACAACAGTGATGTGAATATGAAATGGAAATGATTCCTGGAAACAGCACGTTTTTTCCTGCGTCATAAATTTGTCTCTAGATTTTTTATTCGTCTACATTTTACAGGTTAAGAAACAAAGAAGTGGCAATATTGGTGCTTTGTTTAAAGTTGTCATACATTATGACATATTTTTCTAGTTTGTTATGACTCGATTAAAGATTAGTTTGTTGAACTTTTTAATGATTTTAATCAATTAAAGTAACATTACAAGATGGCCCCTAAGCCTCTGCCCGTAGGTTACCGACTTCAGTGTCACACCCTGTTTTCTACCGGTACTCAAGCGTTATGGACTTTACATTCTACTTTCATCAACTGTAGGTGGCTTTCAAGAATAAAAGCACCCTCAGGCATTGCTGATGTGTTGGCTGATGTAGGGGTGGCCCCATGAACAGCTCGCGGGAACAATGCACGTGCAAAATGGGATAAGGGCGTGCCCGCTAGCAGGAATGATCGAGGGTGGATTTCGTCTGATAAATAACAAGGTTTAATTTCAAGAACAGTTCTGCGAAGATCTGGCCCGGACATTGGCATCTTTAAGAAATTCTTCATCGCTGTAAGCTAAAGAGAAGGTTATCACTTGTTACTGTATCCTGGTGTAAATGTGAGTTAATCCGTCAACTTCTGTTTGGTGAATATTTTCATTATCTTCTAATCAAATGGAATCAATGAAGACAAAAATAAGAAACCCTTTAATCCGAGCGTTTTCGAACCTTCACACTTTCTTAACATAGGAGATGAAATCAATGTTAGGCATGTGGTAACAATGTTTATAATTTTAGATGACTGCTCTGACATTAATTCGATTAAAAATACATCAGCGGTCCAGATGCCTTTAATATATAACAAGTAAAAGTTAGACCACCGAGAAACCAAAGGGATGGTGGTTATATTTTTCATGAAACTTATTTGCTTCGTCTTCTTGAGGAAACTGTCAAAAAGGATAAAGTTTATGCATATACGAACGCCTGAATGAAAAGTAAGTTATCCATATAGATGAGAATTGAAAATTAACTTGTAAATTAATTAATAAAAACAATTTTATATGACAAAGTGACTGGAAAGTACTTAATGTTATAAATCAATACAGAAGACAAATTAAACATATAATGGTATAGAATGCATTGAATATCAGTTGAATTCCGTCGTTGCTAATGCTATTTTCAGCCGTAAACCCAATAAGAACTCTTGAGATTCAGCCAGCTTGGTAAATTTTAATTAGTTCTAAATCCACATATACTACTAGGCCAGCAATGAAAAATAATTTTCATAAGTATGGTAATTGATATATATATATTTTTTATTCTCAAAATTGGTTTCATGAAACCAAGTGTAAAGTTTTGTCTGTTTTGAATTTTGCGCAAAGCTACACGAGTGCTATCTGCGCTAGCCGTCCCTAATTTAGCGGTGTAAGACTAGAGGGAGGGCAGCAAGTCATCAATACCCACCGCCAACTCTTGGGCTACTCTTTTACCAACGAATAGGGGGATTGACCGTCACATTATAATGCCCCCACGGCTGAAAGAGCGAGCATGTTTGGTGGGACGGGGGTTCGAACCCGCGACCCTCAGATTGCGAGTCAAGCGCCCTAATCACCTGGCCATGCCAGCAACTAAGTGTAAAGAAAAATGTCTTATGACGTCATGGTATTATTTGTTACAACATTTTTTAACTCGTTAATACCAATTAAGTGTCGTCGAAGAGATCTCGTATTGTGCATTGTTGTATGAGTAGACGCAGGATGAACTGTTATCCCCCCCAAAAAATAAAACAAATAAAAACGACGTCGTTGACAGATGATTACTTAGACGAATGGGAAAAAAATATTAAGTAACGTGTTTTTTTGTTGTTGCTTTTTCAGCTCCAGCGTTTTATGATCCTACACTTCCTTGTTTCAATGCGCTATGGATCTGAGTGATAAAAACTCAAGTGAACGCCAATTAAAATCAGTCGTGGATAGAGGTTAACTGTTTCGATCCGATCTAATATGAAAGATCAGTGAAAGGTTGTATTAAGATAAAAAATATTCTGTGGGGTAAGTAGAGGAAATTTTATCCAAGAAAATAAGAGAAACTTGACAATAAATAACAGTTCTACGAGGATTCACAGTTCGAGTCCCCTTTACGCCAAGCAAAATCATGTTCTGCACTTTTAAGCCATGGATACAGGGACGTTTTGTTTT